AGTCGGAGACGAGTCGTCGGGGGGGAGGGGGGGTGGCGCGCAGTTGCAGACGCCGGCTGGATGAGCGACGGTGGGCGTTCTCCGGCGTATTCTTCGGCTGGAGAAGAGAGAGAAGAAAAAAAAAGCTGAAATCCGTTTTCAGAAAATGAAAACGTATTTTTTTCGTTTTCAGTTTTTCACAAAAAGACAAAAACGTTTTTGTTTTTGTTTTCTAACACAAACTTCGCCAAACGCGTTTTTCATTTCTGTTTTTAATTTTTTGCTTTGAAAAACGTGAAAAATAAAAACAAAAACGGTAATAAACAGGCCCATTATGTTTACTTTTTTGTTTTTTATTGTCGTTTCCGAGTGGTTATTAATTTTATTCTAGTCTTTCTATTCTGTTGTCGTAATTCATTTTAGCGTCGTTCTCCAATTTCTGATTGTAAATTTAATTGTCGGTTTATTAACCCAAGTGTTTTTTTTTCACTTTATTTATTGTTTAGGGAATTTTAATTATTATTTTGCTTGCCCCTTTTTCCTTTACTATCTTAAAAAAAAAAAGATTCGAAATTCGCAAAATCAATTAAATTTCCGCACTATCCATAGGCGTCAAAAACATATGATGAATCCAAAAGTAATCACTAAACTAGCCGGTGTAACAACAAAATAGTCAAGAGCAACAAACATTTAATTTCAGACAAAATTAACATCAGAAATTTAGTACTGATAAATCTCATTAATCGTTCTTGCTAACAAGGGTGGACTTAAACCAACGAGGGATAGTATACCAATGAACAGCTCTCTTGATGACTTTAAGGGTCGATTTCACAGTGTCCATGAACGCGAGATAAAGAGGAAACTGCAAGAGCGCAAAAACAGTAACGGGAAGGAAAGCCACCGTGTAAATGATACTCGTAGTCCATCGGTTCTTCAGGTGAATGATCAAAACTATCGTCGCCGCGAAGGCCAGCATTGTCACCGCCACCGAGAAGAAGAGGAAAGTGAAGGCCATGATGAGCTTGCGGGGGAGAGCAAGGCGGAAATCCCGGAGCTCGAAAGGGGAGGTGAGAATAGAGAGGAACATGACGACGGAAGTCAAGGAGCTGGCGAGAGAGAGGACGTCCATTACGGTGAATACCAAGAAGAAAGGATCGTGCAAGAGGACGGGAACTCCTGTGTCCTGGTCGGAGCCTCCCGGGACGGTGTATGCGGCGGCGAAGGCCACGGTGGCGATGAGGACCGCTACGGCTGAGCATGATTCCGACGTCCGCTTAAGCCATTCCTGAGCTTCCTTCAGGAGCTTCTCGTGGGTGCGGCGGAAGAACTCCTCCGCCGTCTCGCTTTTGTCTTTGAACCGGCTCCGGTGCATCTCGTAGTGTGGCGGAATAATCTTCCGGACACGCTGTAAAGAACATCGGTATTTAAACCTTAACATTATTAAAAATAAATCTAGAATTATATATGGCTAGACTAAATTTGCAACCACAAAATTACATACCAATATTATAAAGATTCAGTCATTTTCAATTTATAAGTATAGCATTCTATACATATAACTAATAACACTGATCACCAGTACTTAAAAAAATAATAATAAACGTTACATTATTAACATACAAGGGCTTGTTCTATCTTCATCAAAATCATATTAAATATCGGTAATGCAAATCTAATGGTTGAGAAACTTAGTGGTTGCCTGAGTATATAGCAGTAAATTCACACCCTTCTTTTAATGTTGAGGTGGGAGTATTAAGGGATGTTTGTTTCATGTATCCGTCTTTAGTTCTGAATCATAGTTCATGGTTCTCTACAATGTTTTCTCTCACAAAAAATTTAAATTTAAAAAATCAGAATCATGAATCATGATTCTGAATCTATAAACTAAACAGACCCTTAATCTCACACCCCTTATTAAAAAAAAAAAAAAAAAAAAAGAAGCAACAATGGGTACTTAAAAAACAAAAAAGGTGTAGTTGACATGGTCACCTCAAACCAAAGCAATTCCTCTTGCAACTGGAGTGCAGGACCAGGCAGAGTGCCTCCGGTATAATAGTTCATAACTCCAACATGGTGCAGGATTGTGTAGCCATTAATGTCGATTCTCCGGACCAACCTCGACATGGGCAATTGCATCTTCTTAACGCGGCGAAAGATATCTAACTGTCGGTACTTAATCGCCACATGCAATATGTTTTGTCCCATATCACTCACATGCTCAACCGCCTGCGGATACACTCTTAGTATCTCATTGACAATCTCTACAATTCCTCTGCTTGTTGCAATCAGCAGCGACGTAGGAGGAGAATGTGACAAAGCTTTCTTCCCTTTGGTTTTGTCAATAGTACTAGTACTAGTACTACTTTCAACATTGGAAGTGTTTGTGCTCTCTGTCATCATGGGATTTGGAAGGCCTCCTCCTCCAGGTTCTGCTTTCTGTACTATTTTGCTTTCAGGGGCTTTTTGATCTTCTGATTCGTCTTGAACCAAAACCGAAAACACGGCTTCCATGGAAGAATCAAGCATATCAGCAGGATTTGGTGGTGTGTTTTGTAACAATTTATCTGTTGTTGGCCCTGTTTCGTCTGTGAGAGTAGTATTCTTTTGCAAGTTAGCCGCTTTTCTTTTTTTGTTTGCTCGACCCTTTTTCCCTTCTTCATCGTCGTTATCTGTACTTTCAGGCGGATTATCAAAGTTTCCGACCGAAATCTTGCCCCTATCTTCCTTCGACATGCTTACCTCCCAAGAAGTGTCTTGTTTTATTAGCAACTTGGCTAGTCTAAAAGCCGATTCATGCCTTTTCTTTTCGTTGTAGATTTCATTCATCACGGGCCATCCTGTAATCTCAGTCCGAAGTTATGAAAGACGCTTCAAATAATCTAAATAAAATTATGAAGTGAGAAAAGTGAGATATTTGTGACAATAATTCAGGCTTGCTATATTCCAATAATAACATAAATTCTTTGAAGTCGAAGCACATAGACTTCAAGTTCTTGTTGTTAAATAAATAGTTCAGAGTTTTTAAGTGTCTATAGAGCATATTAGGACAAACTCCATAATGGTGGATCTACAAATCAAGGGTGTACAGCCGAAGACTTTTCACGAGCATACTACTCATATGGGTGTTGTTTTATTTGATGATGGGCGATTTTAGTAGGAGTTTGTAATTTAGATGTTCTTTTGGTTAAGATACATTTTATGTTATTTTTCTGCACAATAAAGAAGATAGATTATGGTTTATCTCTGAATTTGTATGCTTTCTAATTGCAGTTTTGTATTGGATTTAAAAAGTTTCGGATTGATCTTATTAAAGAATAAAATAGGACCAGTTAGAAATAGGCATGTTTGAGATCACATTACATGTAATTTCTATACTACTCATCCATATTCGATCTATGTCATTGAATATGTTGGTATGGTGACCATGGAAGGTTTAGTTACATTTGAGTGTGATGAAAGCCGCCATGATTTCATACTGATGTAGGAGATGGCCCAAATTGTAACTAAAGTGAAGTCTAAGGATAAATAGTATACAGAAAGTGTACTTAAGTAACATATGATATAATTGTTTCAGGAATTATGTGTAGCCCAAGTAGGAGATTGTTGAGATTTTCACGTTAATTCCTAATATTTTATGTGGGCCACATATTTAAATAACAATTATATTACGGTATTAATAAATTGGCTAATTAAGTGGTCTAATGAGGGGAGCTCAATTAGACTTCTAATAGGATATATGTGATAAATGAGTGGGTACCTAATACTTATCCAATAAGGTTTAATGGGAGCATAATGGGATAAGTATATAAGGACTTATAGGTTATGGTCTTCAATACATAAAATCATTCGGCCGCTTTTGCTCTTCCCCATCTAGAGAGAGAACACTCTATTAAAGAACTCTGGTGATTTGACTGAGGAAGACAATAACCGGTTTGTCAATCGTCGTAGTAATTCCGTAAAAGTGTTGATTGTTGCTATTATGGATTCACATACACTTCCTTAATATTATCTTGGTAATTTGACATAATGGCTCTTAAAATTTATGAATATGGTGATTAAAGCCTAACAAGTAGTATCAAATCAGTCATCATGTTAAATTATTGAGAGAAATTCCTTCTCTAATTTTTTGGTAAATATTGTTTTTGGTCATATACGGACTTTCGGCTATAAAGTTTTCTTTGGTGATATATATGAATCTCGGCCATGTATTAATTTCGTCGATATACAAATATAATTTTATTGGATTTGGTAAATGTATATATATATATATATATACATATAAGTATCAGGTGGTCGTTTGTGATTTTGGATTCACTGATAATCGTTATTAGATGAAAGCATAATAATTCTTGGAATTTATGAATATGGTGATTAAAATCATATTTATAATTAAAGTCTAACACCAAATCCAAATATTCATCTTTCTTAGAGCTGCAATTAGTATACAATATACATAATGTCAAACTTTGGCCAAAAAAAAAAAGAAAAAGGCAATAAATCGAATTTTCATGACAAAGTAAGGAACTCAGAATCACGAATGGCATATGCAATCAATTATTTATATCATTTTTAAAGCAAATAAGAATCTTGCACATTTAATTTCCGAAAAAAAGTTCATATTCAAAATTTTGTACCTTTAACTATGTACCCACCTTGGTTGGTTAAAAAAAAAAAAAAAAAAAAAAAAAAAAAAAAAAAAAAAACTATGTACGTACCTTTGCCAATTAATCCTAATTCATTTATACGTACGTCTTCTTTTTTTTCCTCATGTCCACCAACTTCTTCTTGGTTCTGATCGTCAGGGTAGTTTTCACTCGGGATGCCTGTAGGTAAAATGTACGCCATAAAATACTACTAGAATAAAATATACATACATACATACATATATATATATATACACTCATCCATATATATATATATATATATGAAATGATGGTGAGACTTTTAAATTAATCACACAACTGCTTAAAGTCTAAATATGGATTCTAATTAAACACAGCAAAATGCATCTGTATATTAAGCAACGAAATAACCATACAATAGTATATAAATCTTTTTAGTAATCCATGACTTTTCCCACTCTTGAATGCTGCAGGATTGCTTGAGAGTAGCTGGAGGCCTATCATCCCACTGTCATCTTTTTCATACACTAAATGAGGGTATCTTTCAGCTATTACAAACGCAAGATCTGCAGTATTTAATTTTAGGAAAAAAAAAATCATTATCATTTTATATCCACAGAGGTCAAAAGTTAGCATCTAACACCTTTATTAACTAGTTCTGATCTTATCTTATTAAAAAAAAAAAAGGAGAATTATTTTTTTTTTCATTAATTAACTCATCTCATGTACTATGGTAGATTATATTAATGTTATTTGTAAAACGATTACTTCAGAAGGTTTTTATATACATAAGATGGTTATACATGATCAGTTTTGGCGTGTCTATTGAATAAAGTATATGACAAAAAGAAAGAGACTAATTTCCTAAAAAATCAAATTAAACAAAGAAATACTGACCAAAGAACTCAGCAAGTATCGTAATATGGAGAATAGTAGTGGAATCTTCCCTAGAGAGATGGAGTTTCTGAAACTCCGGGCCTTTCTTATCAACTTGATCAGCCAAGAGATTAAACATTTCAGCCTGGCCGTAATGTGCAGCTCTGAAGAGAGGTGTTTCCCCAAGCCTGTTATTAATGGAAAGCAGCTCCGGCGCCAAACTCAGCATCTCCTTGGCGAGCTCCGTCATGCCTGTGGCGGCGGCCTCGTGAAGAACCGTGTCTCCAGCGGAATTCCTCGTCGTCAGCAAATGTCTGTAGTCGCGTTCGTTTGTGATCTTGGCCAGGATCTGTCTTGCAATGTCTTTTCGCTCCATGTATATTGCAATGTGCAAAACGGTGTCGTGGGACACCGTCAGGGGCCGGGTTGGTTGCGCAGGGATTTTGCAGTATAGATCCTCGACTTTGTCCTTCTCACCCCTCATCACACTTTCGTAGAGCTGTTTGAAAGTGTTGAAATCATGATGATTGGAACTAGTTGAATCCATTTCGACAAAATAAGAGAGATCAGAGAGGTACACTATTTGTTCTGAAACTATAGAACTCTTTTATATAGAAATATAAACATATATATTTATATATATATATATATATCAGTGTATATATATTGGATGAAGGTAAGATCACTACGTTGTGTAATGCATGCATGATTATTATTTATATATGTGCTGTGGAATGTGGATTTAATTTGGCTTTTGAAGTTATCAAGCAAGGTATCCAAGTTGATTTTGATTGCTTATTCTTCTGACCCCTTTAGCCTCAATTCATTATGTGCATTACATAGATATGCCTTGATGGATTTCCCTTCTTTTTTTTTTTTTTTTGGGGGGGGGGGTTCCAAAGGCCCTTAGATTGGTTTATTCCTGTCGTAGTCCTGTGTAAGAATAGAATATTGATTTTTGATTTTTGATTTTTGACTTTTGCTTTTTATACTTTTTTCTTTTTTGGGAACAGTACTACGGTCGTATCCTTCATATATACTACTGATCAGAATCTATCCAATAAGACACAAGACTACACTCGCTTTTGACCTTTTTCTGCTGCAAATTGCTTGCTTTTGTTTCGCATACTAAAGAGATGTTATCTTCGCATTGAAGGGCTGCCATATTAAGACACGAAAAGAATAAAACGCACTTGTTGCATGAAAATCTTTTTAAAATATTTTCCATGTATGGATTTGCTATACTGACTTTTAAGTAAAGATATTGTTCAAGTAAAATCCGACAGAGATTGTAAAGTTATTATACTTCTTTTAAACTGCACTTAAATATGCAGATTTCACTTAATTATTGAACTCTCGAAAGAATATTGCAATATTATCCTATGTACGTACTTCCTTATCTTTTAAAAAGTAAAACAAATCTGTTTATATCAAGAGAAATACATAAATATACAATGGGTTTAGGTTTTTTTTTAAGAAAAAAATGTATTTCATTAAAATACTAAAAAACAGTCATCTTAATACAATGCTAATCCATCAGAGGAACAAACAAGGCTCGAAACTGTGAAAGCTCCTCAGCACACTAACAATAAGCAAACTGAAAATTTGACTGGAGAAAACCCCTCTCTTCAACATAAGCTGTCGAGCGCTGGAGGAACGAATCATCAGAACCTACAGAAAGGGAACATCTACACAGCATAAAAAATTCTAGTCGGATCAAAACCACCCTATCAGCATTAAGCCGAACACCTAAATCTAACAAAAAACACCAAACTAGACGAGAGTTGAAAGGAAAAATTACATTTCATTAAAATACTAATAAACAGTTGTTTTAGTACAATGTTAATCCATCAGAGAAACAAACGCACGCCTGAGGCCTGAAACTGTGAAAGCACCTCGGCACACTAACAACGAGCAAACTGAAAGCTCGACTGGAGAAAACCCCTCTCTTCAACATAAGCTGTCGAGCGCTAGAGGGGGCCGATTGTCAAAACCCACAGAAAGGGGACATTTACACGGCATAGAAAAATTCTAATCGGACGAAGACCATCGTATTGACATTAAGCCAAACACCTAAATCTAGCAAAAAATAGCAAACTAGATGAAGGTTGAATGGGGAAATCACCAACCTTATTACAAACACAAAAGTTACAAAAATACAAAAACATCTAACCACTGCCGGTAGAAACCTCCGGTGAATGGCGTCCGGCCATAGGACCAACGAAGATATCTCAACCACCAAATGGAAAACTCCCTTGAGAAAGGAGACTGTCCGTTCGGTTTTCAAGCTCCTAACTGGTTCAGATCAGCCCACATGGAACCACCACACCGTACACTGCCACCACCAACGAGAAGCCACGACGAGACCAGTCGAAGGACTAAATTTCACGGCCAGAAGTCTGGCAACGCGCCCGGAAGCAATGCCAGAGCTTCAATCAACTTCTGCTCTCCAAGGACCTTCTGACACTCTCTCTCTTAAAAAAACACACAATGTGTTTAGGTTTAAAAACAAGTATACCATCTACATTGTGGACTTGCCCAATTAATTAATTTTCCTTAAATCAAAGGACAATGATGGCGTATTAAAGTTGCTGTTAATTCTGTTTAACTCTCAAGCCATTTACAAAGAGAGAGAAAGATAGAGACCGAACTTTCTGAAGCAAAAACAATGGTTTACTACTAATTGTGTGGTAATTGACAACGCCAGATCCAACATCAGGATTATTACAAACAAAGAAAACAAAAACCATGGATGAAGACAAAGTTGGAATTCTTAAAATGAACAGGAAAATTAAGATTCTTTAGCGCATGATCTCGGGTTCAAACACTTGCCATGAGGAAAAGAGGAAATCAAACTCTGCACCAAGTCCTGTACAGTGAACCAAGCGATATTCAGATACAACGGAAGCTGCAGAACAAGGAAGATAGTAACCGGACAACAAGCGATGGTGTAGATGGGAATGGCGGCCCAGTGAAGCCTCTTCCTCATCATGAGCACGAGTGTTGCGGCGAAAGCGACCATCATAGCCGCCACCGCGAAGAACAGTGTGGTGAGGCCTAAAACCAGCTTCAACGGTAGGGACCTCCGGAAGTCCTGCTCTTGCATTTTGGAGGTCATGATGGAGAGGAAAACGACGACGGAGGTGAGGGAGAAGCAGAGGGAGAGTGTGTCGGCGGTCGTGAAGACGATGAATGGAGTCGTCCTGAGGAGGAGGGGGTGGCCGGTCTTGCTGGAGCCGCCGGGGACGGTGTAGGCGCAGGTGAAGGCGACGGTGGCGATGAGGACGGCGACGAGGGTGCAGGCCTGCGTGGTCCGCATCAGCCATTCCTGACCGCGCCTGACAAGGTCTCTGTGTTGTTTGCTGAACAAGAATTGGGCTGTGTGTTCATCTTTGTTCCGGTGGTTGATGAAATATGAAGGCACTATTTTCTGCACTCTCTGCATTTCATTCATTCATTTGAAGTATTTAGAGTTCTTCTTTAGTGCAATCATTGAGTTGATGATTAAGAGTGTGGCAGGAATGAAATCGGCGACTTTTTTGCGTTTTTTCTTATACAGAAGAGACAAAACTAAGATAAAACGATAATGGATGTTTTTGTTGAGTAACAAAAAAAATGGTTTTTTTTTTTATTATTATCGTAATCTAAATTTTAGAGTCATTTTTTATTTGTCCCATAAAATTATTTTATCTTTTAAATTTTAAATTGTTCTTACTTAATCTATTCTATTGTAATTTATATTAAAATCAAATGAAAAAAAAAAAAAGTCAAGTGTTATCATATTATTTTTATATGTTTGTTTCTAACAAAAATACCATACGATTACATTACTCTATTTTAATCCATCATTTTTAACAGAAATTATAACAAAAGAAGTTAAGTGAGAACATTCAAAATTTAAGGGGTAAAGTGAGTTTTTAAAGTTCATGAGGTAAATTGAAAATGACCGTAAAATTTAGAGGCACCCGTGATAATAATATATTTTTTTTAATAACCATTTTTCTAATTAGGTTTTCGATTTACTATACTAAGTAATTACCATGATAAAAAAAAAAAGGGTTGATCTTCTTGAGTTCAGAAAACAAGAGCAGTCTCTAAACTTAGTTAAAAGTGTCCTTTTAGTATATTTTTAGGAAAAAAAAGAAAACATTTTTACTGTGAATCTCGAAGAATTTAATATCAATATTATTTAAATATCACTATTTTAACTTCAAATAGATAAATTTTTTTGTCAACTTTTTGGATACCAGTATTTTTCTTTTAAACCTTATGTCCTCATGAAATTTTGGTTCACGATTGAAAAAATTTTGATGTACTAAAACAGAGAAATGAAGCTGAGTGAGAGTAGTACTAGAGGCAAAATGAACAGACCTTAAACCATTGAATCTCAGACTGCATACGAAGGGCTTCCCCAGGCCTATCCCTCAAAGAATACTCTCCCAAATAAGCCGCTTTGTGCAAAATACTGTCACCATCTGCGTTGATCTTCCTCCTCAGCCTCGAAATTGGAATGTGCGAAGATTGGAGGAGCTCTAATATTTCTGCTCTTCGATATCTCGCTGCGACATGGAATATGTTCTCATTTCTTTGGTTTACATGCTCGATCGCCTGCGGATACACTTTCAGTATGGCCTCCACTATCTCCATGATCCCATTTCTTGCTGCTGCAATGAGCGGAGTCTCGAACCGAAAACTAGTTTCGGAAGCTGCGTGAGACCTAGAAGAGCCGGCGTCTTCTTCATCATCTTTGTCAGCTTCTTCTGCATCATCTTTTTCATGCACAGGAAGGTGGATTTTTTCATCCGGGGCGCCTCCAAAGTTTCCACCAATCCATGATAAATCCTGTTTGGCAAGAATATTGAGAAGCTCCAGCACTTTGCTTTGCTTCTTCTTTATGTCCCACAGTTTTCCAATGGCTGGCAATACTTTTGATTGCCAATCATGACAGAGAGCAAAAAATATCAGGTGATCATCTTTCAGCAAATTGACAAAGTATTTGATATTTGATGTTCACAAACATTTTTTGTGTTCTAGCAGAAATCCACAAGAGAATTACGGAGACAAACCTAGAGCTGCGCCCCTCCAAAAATTACAGTAAGCTTTTAAGGTCCCTGAAAGTTTCGACTCAAATTGATTAGAACACAAATTGGAAATTTCTATTTATAAGTTAGATTTGGGTTCTTGAACAAAATTGGAACTTTCTATGATTATTGTCTTTAACATTAAGACAATATTTAGCCACTAGTTCAAAACAAAGTAAAGTGAAATTCTCAATCCCTCTTAGACCCTTTTGAAACAAAATATTCAGATTACATCAGTTCCTCCAAATAAGTAATCCTCAAACCATATCTTTGATCTTTCAACCAAAATTACTACGGTAAAAGAGAATTTTTCAGGACTTTTTGTACGTATGAAATGTTTGCCTCAATTACCAGTAGGTTGGTTTACTTGGCTATATCCCTGGAGAGGTTTCCTTCCATGGCCACTTTCCAAATCTTCCTCTTTACTCGAGGCGGGCTGCGGTACTATATCATCGAGTTTCTGATCATCCTTTTGAGGAAGGCCTATTAGGAGAAACAAGTATGAAGGAAGGATGTTTATCAATGAGGGTAGAAAACCACAGGGAAAAATGCTTGAATCTGGTAAAAGCTAGAAAGGTAGGTAAATTTTTTTTGATAGAAAGAAAAGGTACGTAAATTTTAGATGCATGATAATTCAAATATTTATTAGTTACTTCAAATATTCATCAGACTATATTATTTCACCAGAATTACTAGAGTAATAGAGTCTTTTTAGTTCTTTTAGCAAGCATCCATACAAGTTTTACTTTCCAGATCAACATGATAAAAGCGAAGAAATTTACTTTGCATTAACATCAATGTACAGAAAAATAAAAAATGCAACAAATAAGCAATTGTCTCAAGTTACCTGTAGGAATGTTTCCTTGGCTAGATCCCTGTCCACTCTCCAGATCTTTCTTTCCGCTTGAGGCATGCTGCGGCACTATATCATCATCTTCGTCGTAATCTTTTTCAGGAAGGCCTGTTAGGAGAAAGAATTATGAAGAAAGTATATATATCGATGAGGAGGTTTTAAATCACAAGGACAGTGCTTAAATCTGATGAAGCTTGAAAGGCAAGTAGGCTCTAGTAGTGTTTTAGACTTACAATAATAGAGTAGACTGGCCAATTTTCCCATGGAGTAACCACTCCTGAAAGCAGACGGCATGTTAGCTAGCAGCTGAAAACATGTCATGCCGTTTTCATCTATCGAATCCGGCGATATGTCGTGTCGGAGTAATTCCACTGCAGTTTCTGCTTCAAATAAAAAATAAAAAAAAAACATGTGCAAAAACACTTTGCATATATGTGACAACTCTAGTAAAAATAAATAAAAATACCAAAGTATCTTCCGAGGACGGCTATGTGAAGAATGCTGGTGCTATCATCTCGTCTGCGGTGAGTTCGCATGTCGTCGACTCTCGAAGCTAAAAATCTGACCACTTTTGTCTGGCCAAACGCAGCTGCCCGGAACAGAGGAGTCTCTCCTCTGTTGTTCTTAACTTTGAGAAGCTCTTCATCGCGGTCCAGCAATAACTTGACGATTTCGAGATGTCCGCGGGAGGCTGCCTCGTGGAGAGCCGTGTCCCCGTACTCGTTCTTTCTCCGAAGGGGCGCCAATTCTTCGATAAAAGAATGAAACAGCGGGGACTCATTGCCTTTGTCGTCGCCCAATATTTGGTTGAGCAGAGACCTTACCAATTGCGTGTTTCCGCTGTGGACTGCAATGTGAAGGGCAGTGTCTCCGGTGACCGTCAGAGAAGCAGTCACGAATTCCTTGTGCAACTCGTAGAAGTTCTTCAATGCGTTCCAGTCTTTGTTCAGGGCTGCTCCATAAGGCTCCGTCATTCTTGCAACGCTCCCCATCTCTCTCTCTCTCTCTCTCTCAAGATGTGAATATTGTGCTCAGTGCTATTTTGTGTATATGCAGTTGTATATAATTTAAAAACAATATATTAGAGGGTATCCACTTTGCTTGGCTGAGTGAAAAAGTCTCGAAAGTTGATGGATGGTACTGCTCTGTTCCATTTCTATTCTTTAAGTGCTTAAAAAGGAAAGTAAGATGGTATAACTTTTTTTTTATTATTTCTAAATTGAGTAACTAAAGTAAAGCCAGAGCCAGAGAGAAGAAGCAGAGGTGGTCCTAGAAGCAGTATATTTAAGTCTCGGATCAAGAAGATGCCATACTGATTATCCTATTAACTAACCCAAATCCAAATAGAGAAAAACCCTCCATACCAATCTGTCGTACTCTTTTCTTGCTTTGTTGTCGTACGCTTTTTATTGCTTTCTTTTTCTATTTTCTTGACGTTTGAAACGTTAGTAACGTTAGTTGTCGTTTCTTTATTGTTGTCTTGTGATACTTTATTTTCGTTTAGTTTGCGTTTTAGTTCTGTTCCCCTTTTGTTGTCGTTTTCACAATTTCCCAGTTTCTGTTGTCGTATCAGTTTTACGCGCTTAATTGCCACTATTTACTTTGTCTATTGTCGTTTACACTTTAGGTCTCGTTTTCAAGCCTTCATTTACTTCTAGTCTCGTTTCCTACTGTTTATCTCGCCTTTTGCAACTTATAACGTTTGCGAACTAATATCCGTAGGATAAATAAAGGATAAAAAACCATTAACAATAAAATTAAACTATAATCCAAGCAATATTCCTTCATTATTAACAAGGCGTCAAGGCCACAGTACTCCAATGATAATCAAGTTCTTGCATTCATTTCATATCTCTATGTATTGTTACACTTGACAAAGGGATGTAAGATGGTTCAGGGTGTCAACAGGGAGCTGCCTTCCTTTATCAGCACAAACACACTACCACCGTCCCCCCTCGAAATTCGAAGTTCTCCATCGAGGTATGTGGTTAACAACCACGATTGTGCGTTGTTGTTGGAGATCGGGATCTTGAGTGGTGGTTGGCTCGAGATGGTCTTCACAACAGATGAAGCAGTGTCTTGGACGGAGGTGATTAAGCCCTTGAATGGTGTGAGATCGATCTTTTGACCCAGAAATTCCACATTCTCTGGTACCACTATCGAGTCAGTTAGCTGGGGAGTTCCAATGATGCCGGCTTCAAACTTGATCTGAAAGGAGCAAAAAAAGAAAGGAGCTAGTTTAGAACCAACTCAAAACTCTCCAAAACTCTAACCTATAAAAGAGCTTTTCAAAAAAAAAAAAAAAAGGGCAAATCTTTAAGAGGAACCAAGTAAAAAATATGATTGCAGAATGTCATTTTAAAGGGAAAACAGAGCAGTTTGAAACAAACTAGAGAGATTTGTTCGTTGTCATGGTTGTAAAGGGAAAACATATTCTAAATTAAATTTGATATTTTGACACACTACCAGTCTCAAATAGTTACAAAGAGAACTCATCTATGCCAGAAGTGATCAATTACTTGGTCTATGGTCTTGGAGCTATAAGAACTAATTAATGAGAAAGACACAAACGGGTATAGAAAAGAAAACAAACCTGCACACGCTTGGGACTTCGGACTTCAAATTTGGCATTGGTCGTAATGGAAGTTGTAGCCAATGGACCGGCAAACTGGACAGAGTTCTGGACGGTGAAATTCTCCGAATCAATTGTTTGCGATATCTCCTCTACCTTTACTAGCGGCAGCGTACCTCTAGACAACAATGTTAACAAACCAGGAAAAGATGTGTACCTGCAACAACACACAAACAATTAGTCATTTGGGACAAATTCTAGTCTCCAGACATAAAAACCATAAGAAAGCAGGCTGTTTTACATAATAAACATAGTGAAAACCACTGTTCTGATTCAATTTTCAACATCAGATTTTAAACAAGTTAAAAGTTACCAACAAAAAGCCGGTATTTTAAATACAAATTTCATGTTTCATGTGTTCATTCCGTTAGAAACAGTTGCTTACAATTCTTCTAATAGAAAACTAGTATCAAGATTCAAAGATCGATGACGAATAATTCAAAAAAAAAAAAAAAAAAAAAAAAAAAAAATGTTTGGTAGTTTGATAAAGATACAAAAAACGGTAAAAAAAAAAAAAAAAAAAAAAAAAAAAAAAAAAAAAAACTGTTTGGTTGCAGGGGAAGCGGATGGGAAGACGGATCAATACTATTCCGATTCGTGACAGTTTCCGATACCAAACAAAACTCAAGAAGCATAGTACTAAAGTCTAAACGAAAACCCAATATCAAAGCACGTTCTTTTAACAACGAACAAAGAACAAAATTCATTTTCAGAAAAAATAATAAGGAACTAAAAGGAAAGGAACAACTCACGCAAGAATCCATTTTCCATTGAGGAGACTCAAGGCCTCAGTCGGGGCCGGGGTCGGATTCTGGGCCTCCAACTGCGTAATGAGCTCCACAATCTCGGCCCGAGTCTCGCTGGACGCTTTGAGCCCACGATCGGTCCCGTAGAATGACTCCACCAACGCCTTCTTCAGCCTAGCGATTTCCGCCGCCTCGACAGGCTTCTCCTCCTCCTTTTCCTCGGCCACCGCCACCGCGGAGTCCTCTCCGGAGGTGACCGGCTCCGGGCCCCACTCGTCGTCGTTCGCGACCCGGACTCGAGACACCGGTCTAGCCCGGGACAAGTCCCGGGTCGAAAGCTTCGGGCCATCGGTGAATCTCGACGGCACTCCGATCGAATTCGGAGGTAGCGAGGCCTTCGATTGGTGCCGCGGCGGTACCACAGAGAAGCTCTTGCATGGGAATTGGTTCAGCTGACAGGCACACGCCATTTCTAGGGTTTCAGAACTGAGACTTGAAAGGTTTTGAGAGCAGAATATTACAGGAACTCAACCAAAACTTCTTCACTACCAGAAAACCAGCATGGCGAAGACTTTATAGAGGTTGGAAGGAAGATGGTCTTGAAAAGACGGTTTTGTCCCTACAATTTGAGATTTTGTCGACGCTGGTGGGGGCAGAATGGGGTTTACAGTTTGATTATTGCACAAGGAATGATATAAAGTTGTCCTGAAATTTTGTATTTTTGACACGTGGATGAAGTTAAGGGGTGTATGAGAACAACTGGAAGTAATGAGAAGGAAGCTCGGAACGGGAAGTCAATATGATTTTGAGGCAGAAAGGATTTTGTACCTTTATGTGATGAAATGTGATTTTTATTTTTATTTTTTTGTTATTAAAAAGGGAAAAAAAAACATAAAAATTGATATTGGAAAAGGGTCATTTTACGTGTCTAAACTCTAGAGTCTTCTTTATTGGCGTGTTTTTTCGCTTATTGGTTAGGGACGAGCGTTTCCATTGGTTGCACAAAATATCTCACACTTGCTGACAAGTGACAAGTTGTAATCAAGTAAGAGTTCAATGAGCACATTTTTATGTGGTGTTTTTATGAGCTCGATTTATTATGGTCCTGTTCATTTTATTAATTTAAAAAATAAAATTTGAATTTTTTTATAGTAAAAAATTTTTAAAAACAGTCACATTTAATTTTTTTATTATAGTAAAAATTTCTCATATAAAATCATATCTCAATTCGAATCAGTTAACTAAACAGACCGTGTATGTTTTGGGTATTCATAGACTGGAAAAGACGATATCCTCAATAATCATGAAATATACTCGTTAGATAAATGAACACCCTTTTTTTTTTTTATTTGTGTCGCAATTCAATCCCCATGGCCCATATTCAGCCCATCCGTTTCATTGAACTCCGATGCTGATGAGCGACTAAGTTTCGTGAAGCTACAGATCTCTGCATGTTAATTATGGGCCTTGTAGACAAACACCAAGTAAAAGAAGCATGGACCTAACCTTATACCAAAGAGCCCAAAGATATATAGGAAATGGCTCGTTGGAGATAATATATATATATATATATTATAAGTAGAAAAAAAAAATTAACGTCGTTATAGTAATTCACGTTATTGTTTAGCATAAAATGTGATCATATAATAATTTATTAGTTAGTCATGCAATAATTCAATTCATATAAAACATGCCATGTAGTATAATTTTATTAATTAAAAAGTAAAAATGATGCAAATTTGAAAGTATTCCACTTTCGAAGTTTAACCATTCGTCTGTCCCGTATTAGGCTTCTTTTTTTTTCCCCCAATAAAAAGGGTATATTTGCCAACTCTTATAAGTGATATTCGTCCAAGTGACCCAACAGCAAAAAAAAAAAAAAATTGTCACAAGAAGAGATTCTTATAAAAACAAAACTTCTTATATAAAAAAAATGTTGTAAGGATGTTCATGAATTTTGTCACTCTAAGAGCATAACAAGAAAACTCTCTAAATTTTAGGTAAATTTTAATTAAAATAGCTAAAAAGATACTTTAGTTAGCAATTTTTAAGTAATTCACTCCAATCATACTCTTTATTTTAACTAAATATAGAATATTTTAATATTTATTGAATTTAAAATATAAATAACTTTATGAAATTTAAAAAAAACCTTTGCATTTATGACAGTTGAAAGAATAAAATAATACTAAAAATTAAATGGTTAGTCTCTCCATGCTAATTATATTTAGCTAGTGTGAAAGACATTATTTAAAATAGTTAACCGTTTAGCTAATAGTTGAAGTGGAGAAAAAAAACCGTTAGCCATTTTAGCTACAAATATAAAATGATTAGCATGGTTAGAGTTGTTGTAAACTATAGAAATTAATGTTGCATTGATTTTGAGCATATAAAGTATAAACCCCACCCTTCAAAAGAAAGACTTTCCTTAACGAATTGAGAGAGCTTATCCATATTACTTCCAAAGTGCCATCTACCATGGTCTAAAAATTTTCCTATCTCGAACTCGAAGGGGCCAAGGACCAAGGTATGCAGATCTTTACAATACTAAGGCCTTGTTTATTTCACCGATTCGAATTTTCAGTTTTAGGTTTTTACAATTAAATGCTCTTAGAAATTGTCACATCTAATTTTTCTTATTACAGTGAAAAACTCTAAAAAAATGTCACATCTTAACTCGAATCTGTAAAGTGAAAAAAGCCTAAAACTAGATCAAAGTATCTCCGCTTGTTAAATTGAGTTAAGCATCAGAATTCAATGGGACGATATTTCACCATCCTCTAGGTCTTATTTGTTTTGCAGACTTTTTGCGTTTCATCAAAGTTTTCATTGAGATTATTGATTTAGACTTCATTTGATCATCTACATTACGAATCAAATATACTAGACGAAAATTTTCACCAACGTATACAAAACCAACCTAGTGAAAGACAAAAAGACCGACATCTTCCCATGACGAATAAAATAAAATATATATTTGCTTAAAGAAAACAGGGTTATTCAGCGAATATCCGATTGGAAGTTTATCAACCAAAAAAAAAAAAAAAACAAGTCAAACATCCTGCCTAATAATTTATCAAAAAAGGGAATCTTTTTTTGTGCACCCTTCAACATGTAAACACAATAAACAATTGCAAGAAAATAATGAACGAATTAGAAAAGAAAATAAATTCTCAATCATTGGATCTTGTATTCCACGACTTTCATCACCTAATGTAGGGGAGTGATATCATCCTAAGTTATAAATTATATTATTAGCACTTCAAAAAAAAAGGAGCAAAACAATGTCAGCGTGTGGATTGTACGTTTTGCACAGAGGATGGTATATGCTCCTATGTAGTGGTGGAACTTCGGGCGGCGGGCCTGCTTGAAGTTTAAAAATTTTCAGGTTCGGCGGACATGCACCTATCGTTGCCATCCACCTAAATATCCCGGGCGCGGGCAGTCCAAGGAAAAAGCATTCCCGCAGTCCACCGCTTGTGGGGGTTGTGACCGTCAGCTGTGGGTTTTTTTTTTTTTTGAGTTTTCCACTGTAACTTGAATTTTTGGCCGATACCCAAAAAACGGCTAGTTTTTTGAATTTTATGCCCGATCTAAATAATTTTTTGACCGTTAGCCCAATTTTTGCCTAAAATTTTTATCTCAATTGGGTTTTTCTTAGTAAGATTTTTAACGAGACAATCATGAATTAAAAATTTAAAAATTAATAAATAAATAATTTTTTTATGTAGTTCGTGTTCATTTCAAATTTCAAATTGCAATCTCCCTTATAATTTTTACAATAAATAACTTAAAAATCATTTATATACATACCATATACAATTAATAAATAAAATTATATAATATATATATTAGTATAGAAATATATAAAAAAAATTTCGGGCACTCGAGCGGTCTCGAGCTGCCCGACCAGGCTCAAACAGTCAAAATTTGCCCGAAGCCCATCCATAGTCTTTCTCAGGTCGGGTCAGGCAACCCAAAAATTCAGGGTCGGGTAGGCTTGGTCATCAAGTAAAAATTCAGAATTTTCGATGGTCGCAGACAGCTCGTCTAAAATTTCAACACTACTACTATGTTATGTGTCCGGGTCGGGTGACGTCCACATAAAAAAAACCTCATTATTAATGGATAAGTACTAAACCCTATTTGACCCACAACCACTAATCATTCAATTAGAAAATTATAATACTTATTAGGCTAATATAATTTGAAAAAGGGAAAAAAAAAAAGTTGTTGGTTAACAGAATAGTGACCGTTCAATCAAATTCGTTAGTTGGAAGCGTTGGAATATAATAATAAGCGATAATCCTGGTTTGGTGATTCTGGTGATGATGGCTTTGGCATGCATAATAAGTTAATAACGTGCTTCTTTATTTGGACACCCAATAAAATAAAATAAAATAAAATAAATGTTCAACTAAATAAGCATCTGCGTTAAGCAGCATATTGAGAAACATGAACCCCACGAAGATCCAAGAAAATCTCTTTGATAAACAAAGTTGATCAATCATTTTGGCTTTTCAAAGAAAGTTCTTTTGTATTCATGCAAGTTCCGCGTTCAAGTGAAATTTTTTTCCTTTTTAGCGCAATCAGTGCACCCATTTTGTTTGTAGAGGGACAAGATTTTCTAGGGTGAATCATGACGCCGAGAAAATTTTAATTAACAAATACCAAACTTAGAGTTGCATTGAATTTTAATACCGAAAGTTATTGTTTGAACTTTTCATAATTAAACAGTGGCCTCTTAATCATGTATACCTCGTTTACTTCACAGATTTGAGTTGAGATGTGACTTTTTTTAAGAGCTTTTCACTGTAACAGAAAAAGTTAGATGTGACATTTTTTGAGAGCGTTTTACTGTAGAAATCTAGAACTGAAAACTCGAATCGGTGAAATAAATGAGACCGTTGTTTCTAAAATCATGTATGGTGTTTTTTTTTTTTTTTTTTTTTTTTTTTTTTTAAATCTGTAATGGTAGGGTGATCTACATTAATTGTCAGTGGTTTAAAACCAAAACGTGGAAAGAGTTGGTATCTTACCAACTTAGCGGCCCCCTTGGGACAAAAAAATGTGTGTAGATTGGTTTGAATAAGTGTTGGCTACCACGTTCCCCGAAATATACACTATCAAAATATGCTTTAAAAAATAGGTATGAAACTGTTAACTACTAAGTTGTAATGTTAAAACACTAAAGAAAAAAAATTATATTGTTACCTCATTCCATTCGAAAAAATAAAAAGGGATTTTCTGCCCTATGTTCTTTGTACCATGTTTTTCCCCAAAATTTAAAAATGTTACAAATTGACTCTAAACAAAGTATATTAACTAGTGAAATGAAAACTCGAATTGACTCACATCTCAACTGAAATTGAAAACTTGAATTAGTAAAATGAACGAGGTCTAAAGTGATTTGATTGAAATACCTTTCATTTACAAGTAATAGGTTAACACAGTTGATTCCGTTGAGTTATAATTTTATGACTGAAGGTCCAAAACTAAGACAAATAACATTATAGTACCGAGGGTAGCAAAGTGGGATAAGAAACATAGGCATCGTTTAATTCGCAGATTCGAGTTTTTAATTCGAGCTAATATGTGATATTTTCTGAGAGCTTTTCACTGTAGCAGAAAAAATTAGATGTGACATTTTCTGAGAGCTTTTCATTGTAGAAAAATAAAACTGAAAAGTCAAATCGGTGAAATAAACGATGTCATAGTTTGGAAAGAAAAAAAAAAGGTGAAATTAAACCGTTACCTCATGTCATATCTTTCTTGATGTTCATTAGTTTTCTTCCATGTATAGAATTTAGAAGCATTTACAATTAAAATTTTAAATAATTTTTTTACTTTAATGTTGATAAAATTTTATCGACGAACTATTATAATTTTTCTTTCAAGGGAACTTTTATGACATTATTTGCAATATGATAAAGCAAATACTCTATTAATAAAAGGAAATTTTAATTTTTTTTTTTTTGCTAAAATGTAATTCAAGTAGTTTAATCACATCAAAATTTTGTTAATTTTTTAAAATAACAATTTATTCGATTTGTTGAAAATTTAACAATTTAAAATTATAAGATAACATATTTTCTTTACCTACAAGAAAATTCCATTTATATTCCATTGTTTTTTTTTTTTTTAGCTAAATCTTATTTTTCCAACACTACTAGGAATTTGCTTGTACCCTTACACTATGTTTGGTATGATGGGAAAGTGAAAGAAAAAAAGTGAGTAGAAGGATTATTGGATGAAAAATGATAAAGTTGATTGTTTAGTAAGAAGGAAGAGAGGAGGAAAAGAAAAATAGAATAAAAAAAAATTATAATGGGGCCCACCATTTTTTATTTTTTTAATATTAGGAAGAAAATTTAAATCTATTTATTGATGATTAAATTTACTTTTGTCTCCCTATTTTAAAATTTAAATTAATATTAAACAATTAATAAAATAGTCTTCTCATTGTACTGAACACTATAAAAAAAAAATCAACTTCATTCATTTCTTTCACATTTTTTTATTTTATGTGTTTTCTTTCCGTTCTCTTTTCTTTCCCTCCTATCAAACGGAGTGCTAGTGGTAAGTGCCACTTGGCATAACCTCGATTGACGCGCCGGCTTCAATGGCTTTTGACTTTTTATTGGCCAATAGTCGGCGAACTATAACTCAATAAAACTACAATCTCAAGTCACCTCTCTAAAGTCTAAAAACTATTGCTCTGATTCTTATAATAAATACACGACATATTAATAAAGCCACGCGATGCTATATTTTGGTTTACTTAAATATCCCAACTTGGAAATCGATCAAAGAAGAAAAGCCAAAAACAAGTAAAGCATAGCAGGCCAAGAAAGGAGACACTGTAAGCTGTAAAGCAGCCCCATTTTCCTCTTCTTCTATTTTGTTCTCTTTCTTCTTCCATTTTGTCCCTTCTTTTCCTCTCGTTTCTCAAATTCTTTCCCCCTTTTTTTTTTTTTTTCAGTGATGACCATCACCAAGATCATCCGCGATGTGGCTATGACTCATGAGCTTACAAACCCCAGTATTTAATGTCCCTTTTCGCTTCTTGCGAATTAATAATCAAGAGGTGGGGTTTTAAAATATTGCTCATTCAGTCATTCTTGAAGAAATTCACGGGTCTTCCATGAACAGGGTACCTTTATTTCCTTCCGATCCAAACTTGTAGCTAGGTCTTGATGATCTTGAATATGTATGTATATATATATATATATATATACACGTATATTTATTCTGTATTGATATTTATCTTTTTTTTTTTTGTATTTTCTTTGGTATTGTGGGTGCGAAGGAGAGAGATCAATGAGTCAACTCGGCGTGATATTGCAGGAATCGGTGCGGAGAGAGAGGGAGGCGAGAACGATTCTGTGTTTTCTGAGGGAACAAATGGACGTCGCGGATGAGGAGAGAGGTAGGAAAAGGTCTCTAAAAGAACGGCTGGGATTGACAGGGATGGGTTGCTGTGGGGCCACCTGGGGTTTCCGGCCAACGACGATAAGCGTTCTAGACGACGACGAAATTGAAGAACAACAACAACAAGAAGAGCATCATTTGGATCCGACGGCAAACAACCCGGGTCCGATTTGCTCGGATCCAGATCCTCCGGGTCCGAGCATGAATCTGGCGGCGGCTTTGGCCGCGGAGCGGCAATTACGGACGTCGAACGACAACGAGAGGGGTAATACCGGCGACGAAACGACAGGAAGTAGAACAAGGGGAAGTACGGCGCCGGGGACGCCAATGAGGGTGTCGTTGATGAGATTGCTGGAGGAAACGGACGGTCGAGATGCAATGACGGAGCGGAGTGGGGCCGGGGGAGGTGTCGGGAGTTGTGATTCGGTGTGCTGCGTGTGCATGGGAAGGAAAAAGGGTGCGGCATTCATCCCATGTGGGCACACCTTTTGCAGAGTGTGTTCGAGGGAGTTGTGGTTGAATCGAGGTGCTTGTCCCCTCTGCAACCGTCCGATCCTCGAGATCCTCGACATTTTCTAAGAATTTATCACCATCGCCTTGATGTGATGAACGATGATAAATGATGATGATGATCTCGATTTTCGTGGCCAAACTGGTATTTGGAGGAAGCAACTGAACGGGTCGGAGGAATGAGTTTTCAATTTTCATGTAAGAAAAATTCAATCTTTAATTTGTTTTTCATAAATGTAAAATACGATTTCCCTGAATTTAGTGTTCCATTTTACCTGAAGATTTTCATTATTGTTTCGTTCTTTTATAAAGGTTTTTTTTTTTTTTTAAAAGTTTTTTTTTTTTTTTTTTTTTTTTTTTTTTTTTTTTTCAACTCCCAAAGGAGCTCAAATTGCATGTACTCACCATGGAGGTCCGTTTTTTCAGCATTTTGCAGCATATGCATATGCATTCGTGTTGGGTGTCATAAGTTCGATTAGATAATGACAAAAAAGTAGGTTTCTTTCGTGATAGAAAAATAGGATTCATACTTGGAATGTCGTATAGTTACATTAATAAGTCAAAGTAAGTGGCTCGTTAACTTTATTATTTTAAAAGAAAAACTCGATAGCTTATGGTTTTGAACTTATTTGGGAGAAAAATAATTTTCTCCTTCTAAGTCGCTGTTTAGATTGTGACCGTGAGCCTCCACCTTTCAAAATAATACTAATAATAATTGTTGACGGTGAAAATTGATCAATTCAGAATAAAACTTTTTTGGAAACGCTCGTAGACATCACTCACGAATTAATTAAAAATTCACATAGAAGTAAAGAACACAAATTTATAGTTGTTCGGTAAAAAACTCTTTGTCTACGTTCACTTGTAGATGCACTAATAATCTCAGGATTATAATCTCTTTTGAGTAGTAAAGTAGTGCGTAAAACAACTAAATGAAAGAGGCATGCTCTATTTATAGGCCTTCCAACAATCAGAGATCTCATCTCCAGTCGCGTGGAGATCATTCCCTCATCCCTAAAATTCGGAATTTGACAGTTGTGTTTTCATATTTGAATGATCAAATCTGGGAAATTACCATTATCGGTTATCTGGTTTCCAAATTCGAATATGGATAGTTGTTGTAGCTTATCCTTTCTTGATTCAGCTCGATTTAATTTGAATCTGACCAGGCTGCTCTCTCAACGTCGTGAACTTCACGGCTTAGGTGGAGTTCTCGACGCATATCCTCCTCCTGCAAGGACTCATTGTCTTGAAGGCATTTCACGTATAATCATTTTCTCGATGTCAACGACCAATTCTCAACTGAGAGCATCTCAACGCTTGGCAGTTAAATGAGTGGTTGATTGCTGAACGGTTGTGTAACAATAATAATAATAAATGTATACAAAGTGATTATAATTTGTATAATCATGATGTGAGCCTTTTTAGGGAGATAAGAGAGAGTTGCGAGTTTACCTATGATGGACTTAGTGCCGCATTTAGTACACTCATGTTCACGTAGAAACAGTAAAGCTTGTGTGGTATACCTATCAATACTCGTCTCTTAAAATCTATCAAAAATTGTGACCGTATTAAATTGGACCTAAACTATGGACTCAGGACTCTACGACAGACACAGACAGAATCTAATCTACGTAAAAAAAGCTGCTACTTAGTCCGTCCCATGGAAATAAATCATAATTAAACTTGGTAACCATGTAATTGTTAAGATGTTTAGTGACAAACGACCGGTCATCCATCAACAACATTTCTACAAGTAGGATTATGTTGTAAATAAATACGTATTAACTTATGTTAGTGTTAGGTATTTTTATTAGTTGGTAATTTATTGACAATCTTGTAAAAATTTAAAAAATAGGTTCAAGAAGATTTCAGATTGTGGAAGGAGAATTCGAATCAGATTTAAAGTTAAAGTTGTAGATTTTATTGAGTTGAGATTTGAAAAGATAAGGATAAAGGCTTGGTCAAAGGAAGATAAGACATTGGTTAAGATTTGGAGAGATAAAGATAAGACATTGGTTATTTGAATTTAAATGAGAGATAAGCTTGCATGAAGATCAAGTTATTTTTGGATTTGAATTCTTGGCTTCATCCGATTATTGTTAGGAGAGTTGAATGGCTTATATATATATATATATATATATGTATGTATTCACTTGAGCTACACAATTAAGCTTGAGTTGCACATGAGAATTAGAACTTGAAATTTGACTTGGTCAAAGAAAAGTCAAAGATAACTTGCTATAATGAAAGATAAGGCATTGACGTGGAGATGGTTAAGAGAATATTAGATGTTGCAGATAAAGCTAAGGAGAATTTTTTGGTATCTGAATATAGGTTCAAAAGTTGAAAAAGGAGATACGTGGAATGGGTTTATATGGGAAGTGGCTCTGCAAGAAAAGGTGGGTCGACTACAGGAAAAAGTTTTATGATAGAGAATCGGTGCTTAAGTAGAACAATCTGTAGTTTATGTTTTTTTCTCATTGAAAGTATGAACAATTGAAGGGAGTTCAGCAGTTAAAGGTGAAGACGTGTGGTACACGCTAAACAGTGTCATTGTGAGAGTTCATCACAGTGGCGTCATAGTCTATGAGGGAGTCCTTGAGTGAATAAGTCCGTCAAGGTTGTAATTCTTAAATCATAGTGAAACTGTTTACTGTCTGGACGTAGGCCCGCAGAGTAGGTGTGCGCACCGAACTGCGATATTATATTGTGTGTTCCTTTACTTTCTGCACTTTATTTTACTCGAGCAACTGAACGTAATTAACTCAGATCTATCAAGTGGTATTAGATGGGTTCACTAAGTGGTATTAGGGCGGTTCACTGACCATAAGTTCGGTGAGATCTTGGAGAATTGATCTGTTATGTTTGGGATGGATTTTTTGAAGGAAGGAGGTTCAGTTGTACGTCCCCCTCTGCTTGATGGTTCAAATTATTCATATTGGAAGGCCCGGATGAAGGCTTTCATCAAGGCTCAAGATGAGAAAGCCTGGCCTGCTGTTTTGAATGGCTGGAAACATCCAGTAACTAAAGATGCAGAAGGAAAAGAGACTCTCAAACCCAAAGAGTCATGGAGCACTGATGAAGACAGGTTGTCCAACTAGAACTCACGTGCACTCAATGCAATATTCAATGGAGTTTATGTTAATCAGTTCAAGATGATATCCACATGTGAATCAGAAAAAGAAGCATGAGAGATTCTGGAGGTGGCTCATGAAGGAATAGCCGCGGTCAGACAATAAAAATTGAATATGCTCACAACTAGGTTCGAAACTCTTCAAATGCATGAAACTAAAACTATTTCTAAATTTAATTCACGGTTGTGTGATATAGCTAATGAATCTTTTGCTCTTGGTGAAAAAATTTCTGATGCCAAACTTGTCAGCAAGACGTTGAGATCATTACCACAGAGATTTTCCTACAAAGTCACTGCCATTGAAGAGGCGAAAAATACTGAAACTATGAGACTGGATGAATTGATGGGATCACTGAGGACATTTGAAATGAATCTGAGTCAAAATAAGAAGGAGACAGAGATTTCTCAAGGGATTGCTTTCCAAGCCGAAGTGGAAGATAATGTTGAAGAAGAAGATGAAGACTTAATGGAGTCTCTCACTCGATTAACTAAAAATTTTAACAGGGTGATGAAGAAGTTCAATGAGAGGAACCAAACTCCAACGTTCAACAACTCCAACAATTTTCAGAAAAATAAGGGAGCTACAAATTCCTCCAATGATAAGAAGAAGAATAAAAGAATTCGATGTCGGGAGTGCGACGGTTATGGTCACATTCAGTTTGAGTGTGCTAACACTCTCAAAAAGAGGAAGAAGTCTCTCAACGTCACATGGAGTTATGAGGATTCTGAAGGCAACCAGGAAGATGATGATCATGTGAACAACTATGTTGCGTTCAATGTCTACCAAGATGTTCCAAACTGCAGTGTTACAGATCGTGTCACAGCTTATGTTGCAACATCATCTGTAACATCATCTGCAACACACTCTGGAAATCCAGATGAAAACAGAGATTTTTCATATTTTGACGGTTCCAGCAATGATGAAGAACTAACTGAGGAGACAATCCAGGAGACATATGAAACCATGTTCAACAAATGGGTTTTGGTGGTTAAAATGAATAAATCTTTGCGGGAGCGAGTCGATGAGCTTATTAAAAGAAGGATGTACTTAAGAGGGCTGCTGTAAACTATGAATTTCGGGTTGCTAAAAAGGAGAAAAAGCCGCAGGAGATAAGAGCTGAATTGGAGCATACTCAAAAGTCATTGAAGATGATGAATTCCAGCACTACGAAATTGGATCACATTCTCTCGATAGGAAAAATGAGTGGTGATCGACATTGCCTTGGCTATATTGGAGAGAGCTCAACGTCCAAAACAGTGTTTATGAAGAAGACGTATGCCCCTAAGTCTTTGACTTCCTCCAGTAAGAAGGTTACTATCTTATCCCCTCGACATAGAAGGTTTGTCCCTACATGTCATTACTGCGGTATACCTGGCCACATAAGACCGAGATGCTACAAGTATTTAAATGCTTTGAAGAGAGGTATGCTCATTAATCCACCAAATTCTACAAACTCAAAAAGGACACCTAACGTGAAGATTAATGTAAAAAATAATTTGTCTAGATGTGTGTGGGTAAGGAAATCTAATTTGAGGTGTCATAAGGCTTATACTTCTTTAGAAGCATGTACTAATGATTATAGATGTAGTGATGGTGGTTGCACTAAGACAGGTGTTAAGAACATTATACATGGAAGAATGCTACATTCAGGGGGAGTAAGACACAGAGAAGATTCAGGGGGAGTAAGCTACAGAGATCAATGCCCTCAAAGATATCTAGTGCGAAGTGTTGCACCAAGTGTTCCAACTAATGTTACAACATGATCTGCAACATCAACTGCTGAAGACGTGTCTAGGGTGAGAATTTTTTATTTTTTTTATTTTTTTTCGTTGTGTCTTTGGCTTATTTTTGTCAAAAAGGGGGAGAACAATGTAATTTTTTTTTACGTTTTTGAATTTTTAGGATCATTTGTTAGTTTTGCCAAAAAAAAAATGTCAAAGGGGGAGATTGTTAGGTATTTTTATTAGTTGGCAATTTATTGACAATCTTGTAAAAATTCAAAAAATAGGTTCAAGAAGATTTCAGATTGCGAAGGAGAATTCGAATCAGATTTGAAGTTAAAGTTGCAGATTTTGTTGAGTTGAGATTTGAAGAGATAAGGATAAAGGCTTGGTCAAAGGAAG